GAAATAACAGTGTAGTCTAAATATATTTTAAATATTACGAATTAAAAATCCCTGAAAGAGAACAAACAAGGTTCACCGTCCTGTAAAGGTAGAAAATCGATATTACAACTAGCAAAACAAGTTTGACAAGGTCAAGTGCTGAAAGAGAAAAATCAATAATGTTATATTTAAGATTTCTTCACAAATACCTGTAAGACATATATAAAACAATAAAACAATGAAAATACATACAATATCAATTATCATGAAATATATTGCAGTGTATAAATCGCATGTAAAATTCACATAAAGAAAACCAAAATTTCTTACCTACTTATTGCAGTGTATTCGCTGAAAGAGAAATACATTCAAAATAAGTGTAAAGAAATAAAACACAAGGGGTTTCTTTATTATGCGGTCTCCCTTAGAGGATATCCGCGAAATAAGCGTCTAAGCCCTTTGAACAAAGGACTTAGCGGAATTCTCTTACACGACCTGTAAGTTTTCCCGCGTTAATCTTAAATCTTGATAAAGACAAAGAAAACGCGGCTGCAGTTACGTATTTTATCAGAATTCGCCTAAGGCGAAAACACAGATCAAATACGCCTTCAGATAACGACGTTCTGGACGCTTTATTAGCAAATTTAGACTAAGTCTAAATTGCACAAATAAATGTCCAAAAATGGCCGCCTGGTTCCCGCTCGGAAACCGACAAGGGTTCTGGTAAGAACTTTGCCAAAGGTGCGTTCGAAATGAAAATCAGAAGTTGGTTTGAGAGGCTCAAGGAACTTAATCAACCTGAGGATCTCGACTTGCCTAAAGGAAGGCTGGACTGGCGGACATTTCCTGACCCAGTCTGATTTCCTGGCCGTGGTGCGTTTCTTTTATAGAAGAAAAAGTAGGTCAAAGTGTAACGGATTTTTTAACCGCCACTTTGACTACATCGCACGACGGCCAATGCAACATTTTCTGTATTATCATTGGTTGCATCTCTGGTGCATTTTGGCCAATGATAATAGTGAAAATGAGCAACAGAATCCCGAATTACGATTGGCTGCACCTAGGTTGCCATTTAACCAATCACAATTCAGGAGGCTGGGCGTCACCCCCCCCCCCCGCTTTGAAGATCCTCAGGGAATTAGAGTTCCTTTTGTCCTGTTTATTGAAAAAAAAAAAAAACAAATATATTTTACAATACAGGATACATAATAATAAAATATAACAATATTCTTTGTAAAACCAAAAATGCATATTTGCAAAAATGAAAAAGGAAAATGTTCCTAAGTTTGCATATGTCGCTATGCTTAAAGAAAAATATTATTTTGACATAATATTTAATTAATGTTAGTTAAAAAAAAAAATTGTCTTTCAAGATATTGAAAGCAAAGATGCATATTTGCAAAAAAAATCAGGAAAATATTCCTACCAACATTATATAATATTCATTACAAGAAATGTTTAACAAGTAGTTCATTTAAAATGTCTTTGAAAAACATGAAAATATTCATTACAAAAAGAATGTCTTTTTCATTCAATTAGTTGATTTAAAATGTCTTTGAAAAACATGAAAATTTTATTAAAAGAGAATGTCTTTTCATTCAAATTAGTTCATTTAAAATGTCTTTGAAATTTACTTGGTTTCACCACGTCAGTCGGCGTCTTCTCCGACGGCGGCGTCGCCTCTAGGTGGTGGGGCTGGACGGATGTCGTCCACATGGATTAGCCGGTCCACGTCGTTGTCCCTGTGTACTTCATACGTGTGGTTGCCGGCTGCTCGGATGATGGAGTGGGGTCCCGTCCAGGTCTCCCCGAAGTTGCCTCGTTGGTGGTTCCTCACCAACACCTGTTGTCCGGGAACGTATTGAGGTGGTGGCCGGGCATCAGGATTTTCAGGGAACAAATTTCTGGCGTATATGGTTGCCTTCTGGACCGCTCGGTGGATCCGTTGTTCCCTGTTCTCCCTCTGGTTGGCCTGGAATGCTGTCTCCTGGGCTCGTCTAGGTCGGTATCCGAGGAGGAGCTCAGCTGGAGTTTGACCTGTGGCGTCGTTACTTCGTGTTCTTAAGGTGAATATTATGTCGCTGACATAAGAATCCCATCTAGGGTCCTCTGGTGACGATACTCTTGCCCGTAGCCCTTTCTTCAGCTCTTGGACTCGTCGCTCGATGGGGTTGGCCCTCTGGTGATAGATGGGAGCCCTCTGGTGGTCTATGTTGTGACGGTTGAGGAATCTCTCCCATGCATCGGTTCGGAACTGAGGAACGTTGTCTGTGATGATGGTGTTCGGTCGGCCCCATCGGTTGCATACTTCGTCCTTGAGGAAGTCTATGATGTCTCGGGATCTTGCAGAGGTGGTGCACCTATACTCCACCCAGTTGCTGAGGCAATCCACGGCGAAGAGGATAAAGCGGTTCCTGGTTCCTCTGGCAGGAGGGTAGGGACCTAGCACATCGAATGATACCCTCTCCCATGGATTGGATGTCATCCTCGCTACTAGTGGTGCTCTGGGTTGGACTTTGGCTGATTTGGTGGGGGCACACTTCAGGCAAGATCGGATATGGTGGATGATATCCTTGGACATGACGGGCCAGTAGTAAATTTCTCGGATGGCCCTTGAAGTCTCTTCTTGTCCCGGATGGTTAGCTTCCTCACTGTCGTGGTAAACTTGCAGAACCTCAGTTCGGAAGCTACCGGGGACAATCAATCGTTTAGAGCCATCCTGGAGATAGTATGCAGTATCGTCCTCGACCAGAAACTCGTCGAGGAAGCTTCTCTCGGCGTCGTCTCGAGGCCCTCTGGTCTGAATGCGACGCCATCGTCTAATGAAACGCTGTGTTCCAGGGTGGGTTTGCTGTGCCCTCTGGATTCTGGCTTGTAGTGGCATTTCATTAAGGTCGTCCAGGAGTGGGTGGTTGGCACCGTCCTCCTGGTCATCTAGCAGGCACAGCAACGGGAAGGTGTTGTCTTCTTCCCCTGTCGGTCGCTGTGGCCAGGCTAGTCGGTCGACTTCGTTGTCTGGGTCGTAGTTCGTCTCCTCCTCGGGGGCAGGATGGCGAGAAAGATGGTCTGGTAGCTGGTTGTTTCGGCCGGCGACGTGGACCACCTTAAAGTTGTATTCTTGCAGTAGTAAAGCCCATCGTGATAGCTTGGCTTTATCGCTCTTGTAGCGATCCAGCCACAGCAGGGCTTTACTATCGGTGTACAGAGTAAATGGCTGGTCCTGCAGGAAATGCTTAAACCTCTTGAGGGCCCATACGACAGCAAAGCATTCTTTTTCGTTTATATGGTACCTCTTCTCAGCTTGCTTAAGCTTGGTGGAACCATATGCTATGATCCGTCTGTTGTCGGGTTCACCCTGGAATAAGACAGCACCTATACCTATCTCTGACGCGTCTGTTTGTAGACAGAAAGGTAAGGTGGAGTCTGGTCGTTGTAATTCCAGGTTGTTGGCTATGGCGTTTTTGATGTTATTAAACGCCCTGTCAGCTACTTCATCCCACACGAAACGGTGTTTTCCCGCTGTTAGGTCTGTCAGCGGGGTCACCATCTCTGCAAAGTGAGGGATAAAGTCACGTAGCCAGCTGGCAGTGCCAATAAAAGATCTCAGTTGTTTGCGAGTCTTCGGCGTTGTGAACCCTTGGATCTTATCTCTGTGTCGCTCCATTGGTTTGGTGTTAATGGAAGTTATGGTATGGCCCAGGTATTCTAGTTCCTTGGCGGCGAACTTGCATTTCTTTAGTGACACCCACAGGCCGTGGGTGCGCAGTCGTTCCAGGACCAGGCGAAGGTGTCTCTGATGCTCTTCCCATGTGGATGAATAAATGATTATATCATCCATGTACACCTTGACGAACTCATCCACGTAGCCGGCAAAAACGCTTGTTACCAGCTTTTGGAAGGCGGCAGGTCCATTTTTCAGTCCGAAAGGCATCACTGTGAACTCGAATTGGGACCCATCCGGGAGGCTGAAGGCTGTTATCCTCTTGGAGTCCTCGGCCAGCGGAATTTGCCAAAATCCGCTCTTCAGGTCGAGGGTGGTGAAGATCTTAGCTAACCCTAGCTCCTTGATACTATCGTGGATGGGCGGCATATTCGATACCTCGTCGACAGTGATGGCGTTGATTTGGCGGTAATCAACGCAAAACCTGGGGGTGCCATCCTTCTTGGTGACGATGACAACTGGACTGTTGTACGGGGACCTGCTTGGACGTACTACGCCCGCCGAGAGCATATCTTGTACTTCTGAGTACATGATTTGTTTCTTTGCTGTGGAATATTTGTATCGTCTGATGTTGACTGGTTTGGAGTCCGTCAAAACGATGTCCATCTGGGTGGCCTTTGTTGTTGGTTGGCGGACTCTGTCATCGAAAACATCCTGGTATGTTTCGAGAAGTTCTTTGACCTCATCCATTGCAAAGTCTGGGGCTTGGTCTTCCCTCAGGAGGTGGGCGTTGTTGGTGGTGGCTAGTCGTGTAGAAGTCTTCCAGAACAAGGTGTGGCGGCTGGTCGTCCCTAGGTGGAGGCATTTCCTGGTTATATCCAACAGGACCTCTTCGGATTGCAGCCATGGCATGCCCAAAACCATGTCATGATGGAGATCTTCTACTACGTGGCATCGTACTTTGGTGGTCAACTTGTCGCTGAAGACGACGTCCACGTCTACTACACCCAGACTTTGGAAGGAATGGCCTCTTTTGGCCAGCTGGACCTCGGCGGGGCTGTTCTGTACCATTGCCTGCTCAATTATGCCTATACTGACGAAGTTGGCGGTGGCGCCAGTATCTATCGTGGCCATAATTCTCTCGGAGCCGACCTCGACGGAGATCTTCGGTGATGGTGAGGAAGGAACTGCAACGTGTAGAGTGTTCAGCTGGGGCACCATTCGTTTGGTATTTACTGGTTGATGATGCCCCCGTCGGAGTTTCCCTGACGTGGTGGGGGGCTTCTTGGCGGAGGTGTCGGCGTGGGACGTCCTCCTTGGTGGTTGTTGTTGTCGTTACGAGGGGTAGTCTGATTGTTACCACTCTGGTGACGATTGGATTGGTTGTTTGTGTGATTGCCGCCTTGATTGCGACTCTGGTTGTAGTTACCGCCGTGATTGCGGTTATTGTTGCCTCTTGAACGCCAGTCCTGGAGGGTCTCTGATTGTTGAGGCCTATTGTGTCGTGGTGGTGGCTGGAGTTGGCGATCTTGCGGCTGTTGCGGTCCTGGACCTCGGTTTCCACTTGTAGATGGCTGTTTTTCGTGCTTTTGCTGTGCACTAGCCGGGGTGGAAGCCTTTATGTCGATCTCCAACTCGTCCACTGTTCGACGTAGGTCCTCGATCGTCCTGGGTGGGTTGACCCTCAGGAATTTTCTTAATTCTGGCTTCAATTGGTCAGTGATGATGGTACATCGATCCTCGTCGATGGTGGATGGCGAGACCCTGTTGAATAGGGCCATCTTGTATGAAATGAATTCTGCTGCTGGCTCGGATCTTTGTTTATGTCCGTATAACTTCGCTAGCAGCTTTGAATAGCGGCTGGAGTGACTGAAGTGTTCGATAAGCCGCTTGAAGAAGGTGTGGTGATCTGTCTTTGGATCGGCGTGGGTAGTGGCCCATATTGCTGCATCTCCTTCGAGACCATGTTGAAGGAGATATGCCGTCCAATGCTTCTCCTGGATTGACATATCCAGGAGGTACTCCGTGGCCTGGTTTGCAAATTCCTCCGGGGACTCGTGCTCTGCTCCGCTGAATTTCTTTAGAGGTGGCTTCCATCCTGGTGCTACCGCTGGTGCTGGAGGTGGAGTTGACGCTTCCTTCTTGGTGCTTGCTATTGTAAGGGCCGTCACTGCCTGGGTAAGGACGGCTAGCATCTGGTGGATGTCCGGCGTAGCTGGTTGTGGGGCTGTGATGTCGGAGGCTGACTCTGCTTGGCCTGACGTCGCAGGCGGAGGGATCTCTGGTCGTGGTTCTGTTCTTGAACTGAGTTGGGCGCCATGTCGGTAACGTGTTGGACTCTCAGTTCCCTCAGGAAGAGAGAGTTCGTTGACCGCTCTGTCCATAGCTGTATTGGACCGTAGATCGTATCGATCTCGATCGGTGGCCATAGGCTCGTGCTATGTCACCCCTAGCTAGGATTAAAATGATATAAAGGATGCACAAGTAAACGTTTATTGTTATAAACAAATAAATAGATCAAATATGCAAAGTATAATAATAATAATAATAATCAATCAGTCTTAACCTAAGAATCTGAAAGAAAGTGTAATTATCTCCAGGCCTTGGATCTGGAAGATAATTACGCAATTAATCTAAGCCTAAGAATCTGTAAGAGAGTCTGGTTAGTAATAATTGCAAGTCAAAGTTTTATAAACAAATTATCAAATTAGTAAACATAGGAAAATTATCAATTATCACAAGAATAAAGGAATATTTCTAAGTGTCGTAGAGACCTAATTCCTTCGGGAACCTGTGGGGAATAGTTTAATTCGGAATAAACAGCAATAAAATTATAACAAACTACACTATAAAAATAGTTATATCAAATAAACAAGTATTATTTAAGAAAAATTTCCTAAGTCGAAAAATAGAAAAATAAATGGTTAAATTAACACATAAGTAATTTCCTGTAAATAAATAAATAATAATGCAATTGTTTATAAGACAAATAAGGCAATAATGAAATAACAGTGTAGTCTAAATATATTTTAAATATTACGAATTAAAAATCCCTGAAAGAGAACAAACAAGGTTCACCGTCCTGTAAAGGTAGAAAATCGATATTACAACTAGCAAAACAAGTTTGACAAGGTCAAGTGCTGAAAGAGAAAAATCAATAATGTTATCGTCGCAATAACCGCATTATGTCGTAACCCACCAACACTTAATTTTAGAGGAGAAGGAAAAAACTGTTTTATGTCATTTAAAGCAAATTTAAGAAAATGTAATTAATATGTATAAAGTTATTTCATTGCTAGATTAATGTTTTATTACATTTTAATTAGTTCTATTACTTTTTTCTGGTTAACGGTGGCTTACGACATATTGAATTTTACAATTTGGACTAATTCTGTGGATTACGACATATTACTACATAATTCGGCTATATTTATTTAATGTATAGAACAGACGAAAATAATTAAAATTGCTTTTATTTTGTTCATATAATTTAAACGGAATTTTCTTCCCCTATTTCCATTCATTTGTCTGTTTCACCTTTCACCATTCATTCTGCCTTAATCTCATTGTATCTAAAGTAGGCAAGTCCTGTGTCATGAAATCTGGTTTAATAAAAACTACTGGTAGTTTGTAGGAGAATTTTTTATTTACTAAATTATAATAAACGATGTAATAGTAAGACGATTATCATTACGTAAAGTGAGGTATGTTGTCGTAATAAGCATGACAGTCTTTGGGAATGACTGGTTTAAGCTCCTGTAAGTGCTTGAATTTCGATGCAGATATTTTTCTTGGTTCTTTATTAAGCTTGTTCCAAGTGATGGGTGCTGCAACTTGAATCATCCTTTGAGGTAATATCTGCCACTCGTGATCAAAATTTGTTTTGTAAAGTACCTCCCCTCCTGGAGTGTATTTAATTGCTCTTAGGTCAACAACTTTGTTCGTACCTGCTCGAAGTGACTTGAAGCGATATTTTGATGAATCGGAGTAGTCAATAAATTCATCATAGTTCATCCACTTGGCAACATAAGGCATAGGCTTAGATCTTGCAGTTTCGGTAGCTGTCAAATAAAAGCTTGGTAGAAAAATTGGTTTGTTTTTAACTTTCTTTTCAATATTCGCATGAACAGAATCACACTCCATGTGAGTGTGTCCAACTTCGAGATATTTCTGAATTATGGTTTTTTTATGATCTATCGCAAAATCTAACAGAGCATTTCCCATTATACAATTTCTATTTTGATACGTGCAGCCATCGGAATAAATTAAAATTTCGTCGTCATCTTGGCAGTGGGTTTGCAGGTAACGAATTAATATTGTAGCAAATGTCGATGCTTTTAAGTCAGTGTCAGTTTCGCTAAACCAAAAACATACCGTATATTTAGTGGCGATATCATACACAGTCAGGTTATGGCAACATAATTTTGTTTTAAAGTATGCTGAGCTTGATTGTATGGAAGGGGCCACCTTAACAGCCTGTAAATCCATTTGAATAAGTCTAGTTTTTTTGTTAACAGCATCTACTTTGTCTTTCTCCAGTTCTTCTCTAGCTCGATTTTTCCGATTTACATGCTGTTTCCAGACATCTTCGGTAATATTTCCTACTTCATATTTTGTGCAAGTGTCACATTTATCTTTTTGGATAGTATGTAATGACATGTTTTTATCTTTGAAAACAATTGAAAACTTGGTTTTACTTAAGGGTATTATTCCTTTGTTTTTAACGTGTTCACAGTATACTGAGTATAATTTTGATAAAGAGTCAAAACATTGTTCTAAAAAAAATTTTGAATTGTTCTTTCTAGAATAATGCGACGGTAACTTTGGTAAATCGTCTAAAAATGTTTCTAATATACCTTTGTCTTCCAGTTTCTTGTTAGATACTTTGCGAAGTGAATTCTTGACTTCTTGAGATTCAGCCATTCCGTGTTTACTATTGATCACCCAATCACGGACAGACCTCTCTCCAATAGAGAAAGTTGAGAGAAACATCTTTTTGCACACAGGAAATTTTTCATTCTCCAATTTAAGCGTGTATATAAATGTTTGTCCTCGTCTCGAATGATCTGATGTTGTGTATCGACGTTTGGGTTGGATTGTCTCTACTAAGCTAGCTATGTATACTCGCCTTTGCTCCCATGATGTTTTCTCCCAGAATCGTTGAAAAATTTCCAGCCTTTGATCCTCATTTATCTTGTGACATTTTTGGAATTTCTTACAATATTCAGACGTACAACGGGGTCCAATACTTTTATTTGTTCTTGGCTTGTTATGGGTTATTATTTTTCCTTTTCTTTCATAGCCTATATATTCCTTACCTTCTAATCTAAGTTTTTTATTAACAGCTTGATGCCACTTTGATTTTTCAGACCTAACAGCCCTTTGTTTTCTTTTCCTTTTTATAACTTCTTCGTTGATAACTTCATGGTTTTCTTGAGCAACAGATGTACTTTCGACTGTCACTCCTTCTTCGAGTTGTGTTCCATCATTTAAGGCCAACTCTGTTTGATTTTTTTCATCGGCTGACGTATTTTTAACTACGTCCATCTCTACTAATAATTGTACTTCATTTTGTGCATTAACAGTCTCTTAAGTTCTTTTGTAGATTTTTTGAACAGGTAATTACATTATCATCAATGTTTTCATCAGAGCTATCTCTGCATTCCCAATTGCTCTCTTGAGTAACAAATGTACTTTCAATTGTCACTATTTCCTCAACTTGAATTCCGTCATTTAAGAAAAACATGGTTTGATTGTTTTTAACTCCGTCCGGGTCTAGTAATTGTATTTCATTCGTTAGCTTAATAGAATCTAAGTTCTCTTGCACATTTTTTGAATATGTAATTACATTATCATCAAGGTCTAACAACATAGCATAATTTAACTGGTCATCAGCATGGGTTGTACTAGGAAGAGTCAGAGTAAAACCATTATTTTCTTTATTTTCCTCGTTACCAAGATCAAGAGGAATTGTTAGGTCATCTGCTTGACACTCACTGTGTGAATGATTTTGAACAGGATAAGTAACACAGTTAATACTACATACCAAATTGCTTTCAGTGTTCGATTGAATAACGGTGTCCTCCATATCACATAACGCAAGTATGCGTCTACTTCTGCTATTCATTTTGCTCTAAAATAAAAAATTAACCTTATAAGTTATACTAAATTTACAATAAAGATGCAGTAGAAATAAACAAACCAAGACACCTTAAGTGCTACTAGGAACACTCCCAAATCATAGTTTACAATGTATATACATTGTAAATCTCAAATCATGGTTTCCAAAGTTTATACATTGTAAATTATGATTCGGGAGTGTTCCTAGTATCATTAAACGTGTCCTCGTTTGTTTATTTCTACTGCATCTTGATTATAGTATAGGTTAGAAGAGTAAAATGATGCAATTACACGCCCAGTTGCTAATTATCAGACTGTTTTTTACTTACCTTAATATTAGAAGAGCTACACAATACTTTCAATACTGTATTTAGTACTAATTACTAAATAAACAATAAAAAATAACAAACTTTTACAGAGTGTTGTAGGTTTACTTCAACTGTGAAAATAATACTACGTTGTCACGTTGTTGCAATCTGTCGTAAGCCACGTATATTTTAACGGTTTTGTGGGTTTGGACAAATTGCACTGGTAATTTATGCGCATTGTCGCTTCCGACGTATTACTTAAATATTAATTGTGGTTTTGAACAAATTACGCTGGTAATTTAAATGCATTGTGACTTCCGACGTATTACTTAAATATTAATAGAAAAATAAGGAACATTCTAGGGCTTACGATATTTTGCAGAAACATGTGTCTTCAATAGCAGAATTAAAATCTTCAATAATGAAAAAAAAAAAATTGTGGGTTACGACATATTGCGGTTATTGCGACGTTATATTTAAGATTTCTTCACAAATACCTGTAAGACATATCGTTCATCCGGAGGAAGAGGGTTACATCTCAAAAAACAATATTTTTCAGGAGAGCCAGTTTAAGTTTTATGTGAAATAAAAATATTTATTTCATTTAAATTACAGAGTGTCAAGTTACCATTTTCATTTTGTAGTTAAGATTTTATAAGTACTTTAAGATGATGTATATACATATTTCCAGAAAATTAAAGCTAGGGAGAGTTTGAAAGATGTAACTCTCTTTCCCATAAAATAACGGTTCTTTTTTTTCTAATTTG